ACATCTGGGAGCATTTGTAAAGTATGTATGAATTCCTACTTACACATACCTAAACAATGTGTGGTTTTCTAAGTGTCATATATTTTTCTCTTAATTTATAGATAACTAAAACATATGTTAAGACCTCTTGTAAGATTTATTATGACAGTGAATGGCAACATAATATCACAGACTAATGTACAGTTTTATACATTAAGAAAAATATATAACAATGCAATACACTAAAACTGAAACATATTCTATATATTTCTACTGAACCTTTTCTTTTTATCATTCTTTGTAAACAACAAAAGAATTCTGAATCAAAATCTCATTAAACTACAATCTTTTTTTCTTGTTTTTATCCAATGCAGTATGTGACCTCAGTTCATACAACAGCTTACAATAGGGAAAGCTACAATTTCCTCATATGACACCATCTGAAATTCATCTTCTCAATTAAAAAAAAAATCTGAATTACTGATCACTTTTGTATGTCGTACACAGAACATTCTGATGGTGGAAATCCCTGGTGATGGCACTGGTTTAGAAAAACATGGTATTAACAGTGCAGAAAAGAGTTAGATAGCAGTTTAAAAACAAGTGAGCTGTTGTGATTTTCCTTTTTTTTTTTTTTTTTTTAAACCAGCAAACTCTCAGAATCCATTGTCATGGAATACTAAAAGATAGATAGTATCAGCAGGTTCTGAATTTCAGAAATTTATGGACAATGAGTTGATAAACAGTTGCCAAAGTGAAAAGGCACAGATGTACAACGAGTGGGGATGTGAAAGCAGTAAGAGGTAACCGACCACAGATGGAAGCCAGGCCCCACTGAATGAACCACTCCATCTATGTCTGACTCCAGCTGGCATTTCTTACATCAGGGCAGTCAAAGGACTTAAACCTTTTCCAGGAACTGTACATAGAATAGGAAAAAAAAAACAAACAAAGAACAAATAACACTTTTTCAGTAGCTGATCTCATAAGGATGGGCTGGGAAGCAGAATAAGAACAGCGACAAAACAGTGTTCACTTCTTTAGAGAACCAAATTACTTGTTATATACAGTATTTTAATAATTGATGCCTTCACCTGGGAAAACAGATCGTGACAAGGTAATTAAGTACTCTTACGTAATCTCTTTTAATCACAGAACAAGCATTAGTATTAAATAGTGAAAGATGGAACACTCAAATACTCCTTAATCTGCTCTATTTTTCCAGAACACAGCCCTTGAGTCTTATCAACTAACACATATCCTGACTCTTATTGCTTGTAAAGCAATTCACAGCATCTCTAAGTACTATCAAAAAAATCCAAATTGTTGTGTCCAAGTTCCTAAAACAGTGATGTCAGCAGCAGGGAGTGTGGGATGTGGTTCTTCATAAAAGGATACCACCTTGGAAAAAAGCTACTGCAACCCTGGCTTGTTTCCTCTGGAAGTGAATGAAGTCCTGCCTCTTGTTCCCAAGTTCGTACACATGTCCCGGGCTGCCTCATCCCAGGTGCAGAATTTGGCACTTGCTTTTGTTCAACTCCATGCCCAGCCCTCAAATATATCAAAATCTTCCTGCAAGGCCTCTCTGCCCTTGATGGAGTCAACAGCTCCTCCAAAACAGTGGTGTCCTCAGACTTAGCATACACTCGAGCCCTGCAAACAGACACCATCTCCAGACCAAGCCTTTCCTTGACAGATGGAGCACTTGATCCTGTAGAGAAGAGTGTAACTTTAAAGGCTTAAGGATCATCACTGAAAGCTTGCTTTCTAACATCCTAAAATACCCAATGAAAGACACAAGAAACAAAGAGGGGTTGCACATCTCCTGTTTATGCAATCTAAAATATGCACTTAGTGTCTTGTTCTAGTTAGACCTACAGAGCAGCGTCTGAGAGGCTGCTGACACTGCAGAGCACTACTTGGGTACATAGCTACTGCCTTCCAGAAGTCATGATACTGAAATCATGGAGCGTTTGCAAGAAATGGGAACAAACTGGGACAAGATTGCTATTTTCTTTTGTTAGTGTTGCTTGGGAAACTGATTCCCCCCTAACCCCATCTTGGTGTCCCAACCAGAGGGACACCAAGGAGGCCAGAAGGGAGCTATTCAGGGGAAGGGGGAAGCAAGATCTAGGTGAGGAGTAATTCCCTTTAACAACAACAACAACAAAAATCCACCAAAACTGTAACTACACTTGAATAACTACTTCTCCACTGGAGACTGAAGCTGAAGATGCAGATCATTCCCAATTAAAAAGAAAACCACCCCAGTGGCCCCAGTGATTTTGTAAAATAATGTTGAGCTGTCAATGAAGAACTGATAGCAGCTTCAGCAATGATGATGCATGGAAAATGTTAAAAAGAAAAGACTAAGGGTGAACTCAGTGAAAATACGAAGGGAAAAATCACCCAAAAAATAAAACTAGGGAGCATACTGTTACATGCAATTAAAGAAATCTCTGAACAAGCAGATTAAAGGCCTGGAAAGGTTTCTCCCTGGAAGACAGCAGGAGAAAAATGTAGACATAGTTGATAAGTGAAGACCAGAAGTCTGCACATCTACAATACAGGATTACCCACCTCCTCAAATAAATGGTTATGAAACTTTGTAGAAGTTTCTGGTGAAGAAAAATAACTTCTTTTTTTCCTGCCTCCATGCAACTTTCATCATCCAGCTACAACGCAGAGGCTATACCATCTAAAACCCCAACCAAAGTAGTTTCTTCTGGCATCTGCAAAGAACCTTCTATACTTAAAATCAGCACCAGCAGAGAATAGGATGCGACACCTTTGTGACAACTTACAAACTTCTGAGAGCTCTCTGAAATACAGCTCTGCAGAAGGAAACTCAGCTGACAGAATGCAGGTGGGTTTTTACAATATTTTCAAGAAGGGGGCTTATAAGAATGAAGGTATCATAAAAATAAATGGAGAATAATGCATGAGGCAGTAACTAAGAAACATCAGGCTGGGCTGTAAACGCACCATCACTGAAAAAGAAACATGTTGTTAGACAGTTTCATGAATACATTGGGTCAATTTTCAGGAAGCAGTAATGTAACAAAAAAAAGATTATCAATAATTATGAAAGTAATCTGTGATGTAATGGAAACAAACATAATTATGCCATAATAAAAATAGGTTCCCTCTGGGCTGTTTTGAATTTCTCAGTTCAAAAGCTTTACAACTAAAAGGCACTGAAAACAACAACAAGAACAATAAAAACTGTGGAACAGTGTACAAGAAACAAACCACAAAGGAGTGAAGGGATAGGGATAGAAGAGAAGGGGCATGGAAGAGATACGTGAGACAAGGATAGGCAGTCAATTATATGAAGAACAGAAATTATGGCTTACATTCTAAATGTATGTGGTGAGCAAGCATAAAGTTATTACACAGCCAGTCCAAAAAATGAGTTTTGTCACACCATGTATAATTAAGCATTACTACAGTACACTTCAGAAGGCAAAGGCATACACAGGTTCAAAAACAATGAAACTGTACAAAAATGGTGACATTAAAGACACTAAAGGCAACATCTATGCCTCAGCTGACTCTGAACTCTAGGACTGTAGGCAGTTTGCACATCATGTTGAAGGAGTAATCCCTGCTGTATTCTCCTGTCCCTACTTTATTCTCAGGTACCTGAAAATGGGCCACTGTCAGACACATATCTTTGATCTGACTTACTGGAGTCACACCTGCAGAGTCAACACATTATGATCTGGAAAAGTGGTGGTTCTTTAGATTTTGAAGGAAGCAGATTTCTTGTTCACCAGTGTGCTTTTAATTACTCTCAAACTCTCTGTTATCCTCAGTCAGGCATTTATCATCAAGTTTTGTTATTTCTGCTTCACTGATATGAGCTGAAAATGACCCAAACCTTCTCATAGGACGTGGTGCATTCTGTAACCTTTTTTTCTGTCTGTTAAGCTTATAGAAAAGCTGATCATGCAGAGGTTTGACTTGCATACTGAGCATAATGGATTTTACAGGTCTTGATTTTGAAGATGCTCAGAAGACTCACTCCAGTTGAGGGCATTGCTCCTCAGCTTTTCTAGAAAATACTTTTGGAATACTTGGCTTCAGATGCCTACTGATGCTACACATCACCTAGTGCCAGTATTGCTCTTCTTTCCATATAAATGCTACCAAAATTAAATAAATAAATAAATAAATAAATGTCTATATTTGCTCACAGTCTCAATGTATGCAGTTGCCAAGAGTGAACAAAAAGCTTTTTCAATGGAAGAGTCTAAGTGTGAACCTAAACAGTTCATTTGAAGCAAAAATAGAAGAAATAAAGAGAAAGCATTACAACCATCAGTAAGATCGTTGAAATTTCAAGTTTTACAAGTAACTAAAATATAAACCAAAACACAGTAAGACTCTGAAGCCCAGCACTGTCTGTAGCTAGCTACAAACTGTACTCATAAATCAATATTCCATGAGCACAATATGAGTCAATTTCCCTTATGCTACTGAAATACAAAATCAACCAGCCAAACAAAACCCTCTGCAACAAAATATGTAAGTTCTTTACTACTTTGCTGCAGCACAAATATTATTCTACAGCACCCTAAATTATGTGTTCTGTTGATTTAGTTATTAACTTATCAGAAATTAATCTTTGTATTCGTAACCTTTCAAATTTTGCTGATTTCTTAGCAATTAAAGACAATGGTGGAAACCCAAAGAAGAGCAAGCTTAAAGTTTTGACAGGTAATTTAACATAACTGGTTGTGCAGGAGGACAAGATACGAGATAATTCACACACATTCTGAACAAGGACATGAAGCCAGCCACTTCTGTTAAAAACAGCCTGTGATAAAACAACAATGTGAATGCCCTGGAATTGCAATCTGTTCTCAAGGACAGCAACAAAATGAATCAAGAAGATATGTGAAGTTCATTCGTTTGAGTTAGGTCTTAACTCCACATGTCCAGCTACCACTGCTAATGTTAGGGGTGCAGCATTCCTTCTTCCTTTTGGTCTTAAAAGAAGGTTACTTTTCACTTACCAGTTCCTATGTAGGATTTAAAGCGTCCCGATAGTCTGTGGACAAAGGCACCTAAAACATCTAATCCCAGTAACGCCACCTGTTGAAAAGAAAAGCAGCAGATATACAAAACTGAAGGGTACAGAATTCTTTAGAGTATACTCTACAGAAATTACAAACTTTATAAGAAAATATGCTCAACCACCATATCTTAAAGAAACTTCTTATTAGAGTGCTGACAATTTCTTAAAAGCTTTCATTAACAGAAATTTATCAGCAAATGTTTGGAACAGATCAATTATATTTACATACAGCACAGCAGTTCACATTTTTCAGTACTCGCCTTAAAATAGAAAGAAAATAAATGTTAAAACCTCAGTGTTTCACTATTTGCAACTATAAATGATAAAAATTCAAGCAATTAATTAAAAGGACTCAGGAGTTGGAAGTAGCTGTTAATCTCTCTGGGTTATAATATTAGGACTGCGGTTCTGCTGTTTCTTCCTTTAAAAGAAGGCTGCCAGAGGTTTAGCTCAATGTGAAGTGGAAACCAAAGCACCTTAGAAACAGAGACCAGCAGCAGGACAGGCATACTGCTTAGGGTCTCACCTCCTCTACCAGCTGCTGAAAGAAACATCAAACAGAAAGCCTCAGCAAAAAAATAAATTGAAATTAAAAAATAACTAAAAGGAGTCTGGAAGAGCAGTTCCCAGACACAGAAAAGGCAAACATTAAGAAACAAAACAAATCATGCCCTCGTGTGTAAGCACTAATACAGGCAAAAAAAAAAGAAGTATTTCCCAGATGCTGAGACTTGCTTCAGTCTGGTTACTTAGCTCAGACGAAGCAATGACAACTTTTTCTGAACTCCCAGCAGAATTCAGAGAAACTGACACTGTCTCCCGTCACGGTGCAGACCACACCACTCATCTGCCTGCCTCCCCAGCTACACAAGTTTTCTTTTCTCTTCACTCGATATTGTTCAAAATTCAGAAAGCAGCACACAGATCAAAATGCTACTGGAATGCTGAGGAATTCCCAGCTGTGAGCAGAAACCAGCTCAAGGACAACAGCTATTTACAACAAAACAAGAACGTGGTCAGAAGCAACTGGTTAAACCAACCCACTGTGACCAGTTGGGACATGTCTTCTCTCCTTCTATTATCCTGCATCCAGTTAAAATTTTCATTGTTAATTCCCTCCAGCAGCTCGCTGTGATCACACAACATACATTTTCACATCTTGCAGCTACCTCCAGGTGCTGCCCATGAAGAAACCCAAGCCCAAGAAAAGCCCTTCTGAAACACTGGCATTTGTAACTTCCCCACGAATACATAAGCAGAATTAATCTCTCCTATCAGCTATTTATTTCCATAGAACTTGAAACCTCATTTTCTTCAAAAAGAATGTTTTCTTAAAATCCTTCACTGTAACAACTGTCCACCCCAGGCAACAAGCCAAAACCAATCTGAGTGGAGATGAATGGGAGCACAGGCAGCCCACACACACAGCATCACGGGACTCGTGTTTCCATAGAAAAACAGACTGTTAAGCCACCCATAAAATCCAGGACCTGAAACAACCACATAATGGAACAGATTTTAATGGATTTATTATTTCTAGACTAGATCTCCTCCTAAGTGGGAGGCACAATATTCCAACTTACTTGGAAACTCATTTTACTACATGCTAACAGACAACAGCAAACGTAAGTGGATGCTATCCCATATTAAATTAATGTCTTTCCACTAAGTAACTGCAGCTAAGATTTAGGAAGATGAGGAAGTGGAATACTGTAATTGTTAACTTTAAATACAAATCAGTTTTTAGTGTAACATCAAAGCTTCATAAAGACTCCTTCCTTTAATGTTATTTTTATAGCTTTTCAAACTACAAAAGACTCCAGGTTGAGATTTTCTTTGAATTATTTTGGATAAACATTCTGTTTTCCTATGCATCTGTTTCCAAACTACTAATTCCACTGTAGACCTGTTCTCCGATGGAAATCTGTAAGACAGCTTTCCTTTGTAAGTATTCTGTTTTCTATTAATACACAAAACTGCAACCCTTCCCTCTGTAAAGGCACTTACAGAATCTCCCTTCTCCATGTTTGATTATATTTCTTAAATCTCTCCTAAATCCTCTATTCTGAAGAAGAACAGCTCAGAGACTTACAACAAGTGACACAAGTAAAACTGCCTTTTATTACCTATCTGCTTGTTACAATCCTGAACAACATTCCTGAGTAAGACAGCAAATATTTCTTGATGAATCCTTCCAGTGCTGTGCTGCTATGGTTCGGGGCTTTGTTTCTTTGAAGTCTCACCTGGGCACAAACAGCAACCATTTGGAAGATTTGAGGCTCTATAAATCTCAGTGAGAGGCCTGACAGTTATCAGAAGAAAGCCTTACCATCAGAGAATCTGACCACCTGCATTTTCCTTCCTGTAAGAGTAGTTTGATCCAGAGCACCCTGATATAATGCTTGTGTGGTCCGTATGTTTGTATCCCTCCTTGTGAAAAGGATAGTTTATTCAGCTCTTACAACGTAAGTCACATTTACATGGATGGTGCTGGTTCTTTCTAACTTGTCTAGCAATGAATTACTTAGCGAATGTAGAGTTCTACTTCAATAACTAGTGCAAATAAGCCACCTCAGTAAATACTACCAATTTAAACACCATGCTGAGTGTTCAAGCACGCTTTTTTAAGGAGCTGTTATCAGTTGGCATCACAGAATCACAGCAGGTCTAAGGAGGGCAGAGACCATCAGTCCTGCCCCTGCTCCAGCAGGTACACCAGAGCATGGTGCCCAGGTGCCTTTGGAGATCTCTAAGGAAGAGACCCCACAGCCTCTGTGGGCAGCCCATGCCAGCGCTCTGCCATCTGCAAAGCACCAAAGTGCTGCTGCTTGTGTTCAGAGGGAGCCTCCCATGCTCTGGTTTTTCCCCATTGCCTCTTGTCCTGGCTCTAGGCACCACTGCAAAGAGCCTAGCTCTGTTCTCTGAGTAATCCCCTATCAGGTGTTTATGGAGACAGATGACACCTCCTTGAGCCTCCTCACAGGAGAGGTGCTCCAGGCCCTTCGCAACTCTCCTGTATGTCCACATCTCAATTGTGCAGGAGAGCCCAGAACTGGAGCCAGTGCTCCCGGTGCAGCCACACAGATGCTGAGCAGAAGGGAAGGATCTCCTCCCCTGACCTGCTGGAAATGCTGGGGTACATGCTATGGAGCTGCAGCAGAACTGATCTACAAGATAAAGGCTCCAAGTGCTCCAACAGCATTGGGCCACATACTAATGTCATCATCAGCATGGCTCTTTTCCACTATCTTCAACTGGGGATATATCTCTCATAGCTTTAATAAAATTAACATGGTATTAAGCATGTTGTATGCATGTGTTCATATGTGCAGTGTGTTGATTCATGCAGCATATTAACATGTACAGCATAGCACTGACTGACATTCAAATATGTTCACATGTGATGTGCTCATGCATATGCAAGACTTGCATGCTGACATATTTCGTGCTGTCACACCACGTATGATGTGTCAGTGTATGTCAAAAGTGCACGTGTGACACATGTCAATGCAAGTCAACACAATTCATCTTGCATGTTGTCACATCATCACATCCTTGTATTCTGTCACTGTCTGCTGATACTCACTGTCACGTATCAACACCCTGCATGTTGTTGCTTATTCTGTGCCAGTGAGTGCCAATGCATATTCAGTGTCACCACATGTAGATCAGTGTTCCATGTGCCCACATGTATGAGAGTTGTAGCATGTCACATGCCAACATGTGGAAGTGTATAAATGTAGGTCCACATCAGTGTGTAAGTGTGCCAAATCATCACATGTTAACACATATCAAAGTGTGCCAAAACATATTACACGTCAACGTGTCAAAGCATGCTGAAGAGTCTAGAGTGATGACATGTATCAAAGCATGTTGCATGCCAAAGCATTTAAGAACACCACTGTGCGATAATGGATGTCAAAGCATATTGCCTGTTGATCTGTCAGCATATGTCACATGTTGATACATCTCAGTCTGCCACGTGCCATAACATTTTTTTTTAAAACATATCATATGTTGATGTGTGACAATGGATGCTGAAGCATGTTGCATGTTGATGTGCAGAAGCATGTCATGCATGGACACATGATGAAGCGTGCCACATATGCAGAGGGTCAAGGTACCTAAGTGTGTTGCAAATTGACACATCACACCTTCTTTTGTTAACATATCAGTCAACATATTTCATATCAACAACTGTCACGTGCCACGCCATGCTGATGCTGGTCAATACATTTTTGCATGTTAAGGCACGTTTGTTAAAATACATCATGTGTCCATGCATGTCATATGTCAAGCTGTGCCACATCAATGCATGTTCATGTGTGGCCCCTGTCAACCCACGTCTAAATTGTCAATTGTTTCCTTTTATTAACAATCATTTTCTCATTCAGCTCCCTATTCACCTACTTAAGTGTATGCCCAGAAGTTACAACTGCTGCTACGACCCTAAACTTGTTTCTTGACTCGAGAACTGCAGTGCAGTTTTCCCCTCCTTGCTGCATGCTGTGAACTCCTCCTGCTGGTAGCCTTCTGCTGAATTGAAGACACAACACATACTACTTAAAATGATAACAGATAAATACAGCAGAGACACTGCTGTTATTGTGGCATCTCCTGCATTTGGTAAGCTGGTGAGCAAAGCTTAAGAAATAGCTTGCTTTCCAAGAAGCACAGAGTAATCATTAACCCCAAGGATTTACTTGGGAATAACAGATAAACCATATTACCTGCAAGAGACTGTGTGAAACCCAACTTTGTTTGTCACACAACAGTAATCTGCTGCTCTGAGACAGGAACACCATTCATTTACTGATTTCCTGCTGCAATTGAATAAAACATCTCTACTGCAAAGGTTAGAAATCCAAATATTGCTTATTATTCTTCTCACATAAGCAATACCTTGACTTCCTATCAGCATTTTAGTAGTAATTTTTACTACTGCCAGTCACACATGATTTAGCTGTAGATCAGCAAGTTGGCGTCACTGCTCAATAATTACATTTTGGGAGGACAACTATTGGATTTTATGGGCTCTAAAAGGGACCACGGAACATACACAAATTGCTAGCTACCAAGAGCAGACTTGCCCAACTCTGCAGCTGAAGCACTATTTCTCCTGTGTCATCTTACAGATCTTCAGCAGATGTATCAAAGCAGATTTCCAGATTACTTATCTGACTCAGACACAAAACAGTTTGAGCTACCAGACTGTTTCAAGTTAGATAATCCTGTAATTCTTTTCAAGTGACTGTTGAGTATGGCAGGTCTTCCAAATCTGTTCGGACTAGACATCATTCACAGGGAAGAACATGCAGGTTAACACAACAAAGCTACTAAATACGTATCAGTAATAGAAGGATAGGATACCCTCAGTAAAGTGGAAGGAGTTTAGTGCTTGAAGTTGACCTACGAGCCTGAACACAAATATTAGCATTGTTCCAGTCTTATGATTGCCAGGTATTCCTATGCTTTGGGAAAACAAATACCAGCAAAACACCACCATCAGCCAACTCTTAATGCTTTGCATCCAACTTATCTCCTCCTTAAAAAGGAAGATTACATAACTCACTTCCGTAAGTTTTTTTCTCCACTGCTCTTCACAGCCCTGGGAAAGCAGCCATTTAAAAACACAGACACAAAGACCTCTAGGTTGTAGGAAGAAAGCAAGCAGTCCCAACTACCACAAAATAAACCATGGTGCTAGAACGCAAAGCACACTATTCCCAGTCTAGCGGGCAACACTCTAGTTCTAATTAGGACCAAACTAAAGGCGTTCAAACTTGCATATCCTTTGTGCTCTCCCTGGTGTCTCTGTAAGACACTTAATCACTGATTGCATAAGACCTCTGACAGACATGCTAACTCAGCCCGCAAAGCACACCGTTACAGACAGCCTTTAACGAGGACTCAACTCCCTCTTCAGAGTACTTCTAGCGTTCCCCAGCAAACCTTCAGTACAACTCCATCCCATTTCAGCACCCATCCACACATTCTTAATTCCACCTTACTGATTTGTCAGCTACTCGAACTGGTAATTGTGCATTCCTCTTCAATGAGCTAGATGAACTCACACGTTTTCCCTAATCTGCTTTCAGAGTTCAGAACTACCAGTTTTGTTTTGCTTATTAAAGCCCCGTGAATAGTTGCCAACTTCAAGAAAGCAAAAGCACTATTTAAGTGGTAGAAATCTTGCCACAAGCTGATTCAACCCAGCTGATAACAAGTCTGTACCTGTTTATCCCACACCTATTTGTTTTTCCCCCATTTGTTACCAAGTCTGACAAAACCACCCTTCTATTCTTAATCCCTCCAGTTCCTACTCCCTTCCAGGATGCCATTTTTCAGCTACAACACAGCTCTGAACTCAAAGTCCCTGCATGTCTCATTGCCATGTGTGGTCAGTAGAACACATCGCATGCAAAAACTGAGTTTTCCATCAGTGGAAAATGACACAGCACATCCTGGGCGAGTTATCTTAGTTATTCCCTCATTACCCACACCTGTCACCTATGAGGAAATAGTGCTCCCTCTCCTAACTTCCTTGAACGTTCCCAACTTGCAGCTCCAGCTCATCAGGCTCAGCAGTTCTGATGAATAAGTCAGCCAGTATCACTGCTCAACTAACCAGCCACATCAAGCTGCAACACAGAAGATAAAAAGCAGAATTTTCTAGGTGCTGTTATATCCATTCTGGAAAAGGCATCCAACAAATGAACAAAAATACAGTAATTAAAAACAAAGATTAATCCAATATTTGTCTTGAAGACGTGCAGGAGCCAGTGGCACCCGTTTTATTATCATTCAGATCCTGAGGTTATTAACAACATTGTCGGGGGGAAGTTCTTTGCTATGAGAGTGGTGAGGTGCTGGCACAGCTGCCCAGAGAGGCTGTGGATGCCCCGTCCATGGAGGTGTTCAAGGCCAGGTTGGATGGGGCCCCGGGCAGCCTGGTCTGGTATTAAATGTGGAGGTCGTTGGCCCTGCATGTGGCAGGGGGGTGGAGATTCATGATCCTGGAGGTCCCTTCCAACTCTGGCCATTCTATGAAAAAAAACCAGAGGTCTAACATTTCAACATAGCACAGAGCAACTCAGCTGGGCTCGGTCTCTGCAGATCCGTTCCAACACGTGTTTGTTCAAGACAAAACACGCAGGTCAAATGCAGAGCGCAGCTCCCCAGCATCCTGCTAACTTCCACCTTGAGTGAGGCAGAGATGTGGCAGCCACCACCGCACACAGGAACACAGGAGCTGATCACGAAGCACCCAACACCTCGCGCTGCTGCAATTAACAGCCCGCGACACAACGCTCCAAAACACGACTGTGCGTACACAGGGCCACCAACGAGCGACAGAGGGGAAAAAAAAACCCACCACAACACCTCGACATCGGCTTTCCGACTCCCAGTTTCACCCCTTTAAAAGAGAAACAGCTTAAGCCATCCTGCCGAGACAAGGAACCAGCCGGGAACAGAGAGGGAACAGCCCAAGAGCCCGCCCCGCTTTCGCGCTGCCCCGCAGCCGACGCCCTCCGTTACAGTAAGGGCTCCCAAGGGAGAAGGCAGCGCGGCGTGCCCACACTGCCGCCCGCCGACGGCCCGGGCGTTCACAGGCACACGGAAATCCCCGCCGTGGAGCCGCAGCGCCGATCGCTCCGGGCCGGCTGCCCGCCGGCGGAAACATTCCCCGACGTGACGGTCGATCGCCGGCCCTCAGCCGACAGCGAACGGACAAACAGCCCAAGGTGAGTCATCGCCGTCACTGAGATCGACTCAACTTCCCACGTACGGCAAAGCCGCCGAACGACGACGGGAACGCCGGGCGCCCCCCGGCCGGCCTCACCTTAAAGTTGCTGGAGTTGACCCAGGTCGCCAGCTCGTCGATCACTTTGTCGAGGCGCTGCTGGTCCTGCTCCACGTCGGGGGAGCGGGCGGGGTCGCCCACGTACTCCAGCAGCTCCTGGCCGACCTGCAGCCTGCGGCCCACGTCCTTCTGCTGCACCTGGGCGCAGAAATAGTCCATCCCCAGGAGCTCCATCGCGGAAGAAGTTCGCTCGGAGGGCGCCGGCGGGCCGGGGGGAGGCGGAGAGGCGGGCGGGCTCACGGCGCTCCGCGGACGGCCCCGCGCCCCGGCTGCGCGCCCGGAGCCTCCATGCGGAGCCGCCTCCGGCCCCGAGACGAAGCTTGGCGCGGGGATCCGGGCTCCTCGGGGGGCTCCCGGCCGCCTCCAACCGCCGTCGCGGAGAGCTCCCGGCCGCGGGGTAAGGAGGCCAAGGAAAGGCGGGCGGCTCGCCGCGGGCCGCTGTTACTGCGCGCAGCTCACGGAGCTGCCCCCGCGGGCGCCGCGGCGGCGAGGCCGAGCCGGACCTCACATGCTCCCTGCGCCGCGGCCTCCGGCCCCTCCCGCCTCAGCCCCCGGGCCGCGGGGCGGCTCGCAAACTTCGTCCCGGCGCCTCTCGCCGCTCTTCTCCCTCCCCGCAGCCGGGCCGGGCCGAGCCGCGCGATCCTCGCGGAGCAAAACGGCTCCCGCCCCGCCGTCCCGTGGAAGTTGCGTCCCCCGCCCCGGCCGGCGCCAGCCAGACCGGGCGTGGCCTGCCCCGAGCCCGCCCTCTCAGCGCATCCCTCCTCTCGCGCCTCGCTCTGCGGCGCTCCCGCCCCCCTGCGGGCCGAGCCCTGCGGAAGGACGCGCGTGCGCGGCGCCGCTGCCCCGCAGAGCGGCGGCCGAGGGGGCGGCGGCCGGGAGGCGGCGGGGCGGCTCGCGCGGGTGGGCGAGCGGCGCTACGGCGGGCGGGGAGCCCCGCCGCGGAGAGCGGGAAGCGGGCGGAGGGGGAAAGCGACGTCGTTCTCCTCCCAGCGCCGCCCCGACGAGCGCCCTGCGGCCCCTCGCCACGCCCTCTGCCGTGGCGTGAGGTGGAAGAGCCCGGGGAGCCGGCTCGGTGGCCACGGCGCAGCTGAATCTGCGGCGTAATAGCCCGCCCGCGGGCCGGCTTTATTTAAAACGCAGGGCGCCGCGAGCGGGGGCCGTGACTCGGGGCTCAGACGTAGCGGTCCGAACGCCGCCGGTGCAGGAAGGGGAAAGGAAAAGGAGGTGCCGGCGCTGCCGCGTGCCGCAGGGGAGCGGACGGCGGTTCCGCTTCTCGCGCAGCCGCTGCGCTCGGACGCGGCCGTCCCGTGTGGCAGCTCCGTTAGCCGCCTCTGCGCCGTGGTAGCGGTGAGCGGGCTCGGCTCCCAAGGGCGGAAGCAGAGGACTCGGCAGCTCCTTGCAATGACGGCGAGTGTCTGACTGCCGCCCCTCTGATTCGAGGCATCACGTTACGCTACAGTGCGAGCTGTTGGACAGGCGATGCCTTCCTCCCCGCGCTGTCACGTACTGGGTCCTTCCCCCTCTGCCACTCCAGCTGGCGTTGCCTTGACCTTGTGCAAACGCTTCAGGGAGATCGTTTTGGTTTTTTTCCTTTTACGCTGCTAGCCGTCGTGTCATGAAAGCTCCGCTTGGTTCCAGGACGAGGCAGCGGTAGCACTGCGGGTGGGTGAGGCCGCAGGAGCTCCGAGCTCCCTTCATTCGGCTGCGAGACTCGGGCAGGTTTAAACTCTCATTTACAGGAGCTGCACCTCCCAGCAGGGGAACCGCTCCTCCTGCTGCAATTTCACGGCAGTTTAAACCAAGGTAACTTGGTGCTACAGTGGTTTCGCTTGCTTCTCACAAATCCTCTTTCCGAGGAGTTCTGTGCAGTCTTTCCCACGCGCCGATGTCTGTGTGACCTTGCACAATAAGCGACCGGCACCCACAGGCGTGGGGGAAGGCATGAGCACAGGCAGCCCTTTGTTGATTCTGGTGTGAGCTGACAAATTTGGGATCCCGTCCTTGTTTGTCTGTAGGCATTAAAGTAATAAAGATGATTTAAAAGGGTATAGATACCTTTGAAATAGAAATGTATGTATTATACTTTATTATGTTTTTTTTCCCGAAAGATTATAAGCTTCTCATCTGGTTTTCACGGCTGGATTTCCCTGCACGCATATAGGGCGTGTGACTTTGGACAGAGCTAAATGCTTGTCCTGTGTGTGCAGTGCCATTTATTAAGAAAGGCTGTGGGGAAAAAAAATTGTGTATAATTATGAATTCATCTTCTTGTAAATGACCCAAGAAACTGCTGGAAATGGAAATATAAGCAGCAGAAAAATAAAAGTCTGTAGTGTCACATATATGTATATTTTTCAGCACATTAGGATCCGATTCTATGGTAATGTCAGTTTAAAAACTAAATTTCTTACTGTGAGTTTGAAAAGTAACTGCTGACCTAATAGGATTGGCTAAAGAGAAAGTAACTGAGTAGATCACACTTGGAATAACAAGAGCTGTAAACAGTTTCAGTTCAGCAGACAAACTTCCACAAAAAAAAATCCCCTAGGAAATTAAAAATTCACATTTAGTTACAGTTCAAGTTAACGTCAGTCTCTTAAGATGGAAAATCCTAAGTAAGTCAATAAATGGGGGGAATCCCATGGCACTAACTTCTCTGAATTTCCCTTGAATCAATGCAAATACACTGGTAAGGTAATCTAATGAGCTGTGAATGGCACTGAAACCGAGGGGAAGGGTAAAGTATAATAAGGTACCACTTGAAACGTTGAAAATATTTTGTCAACTCACAGATAACATCACAAAGCTATGTGAAGTGCAAAAAGCCACACTGGGATATGCAGACATTCCCCTCCACCCTCCCCCCTCCAATTTCTTGTAAGAAGCACTTACTTAGAAAACACAGGAGGAAATATTTTTTACAGCCTTGCTATAAAATCAGAGGATTGAACTACTGTATTCCATTCTATCATTGCCTGCCAGCACCACTGCCTTTATAGTGGATGGATCACCTTATTGCTGATGGCCTTTTTGCTGCTAAGTGTTGCTCGTGCCATTTGCCTTTGAAGTCCTAGCACTGAACTTTTGGTGGAGATAAAGAAAACCGTGATCCAGTTTTTCTCCCTGCCAACAAACAGCAATTTCATTTGGCAAGTAGAGCTTCTGGGTACGCTTTTCTTTCTTTTTGGTAAGGCAGGAGCAACATTCCAGCGTCGAATCCAGAGCAGCCTCCAGATGAGACAAAAGACACGGTTCTGTCGTTAGATGTTCGCACAGAGCCCTGGTGGACTTTATTCCCAGGGATGTAGGCTTGGCTCCAAGAAGAAGGCGTTTTCACTCAAGCCAAAGATCTCCTAAAGCCTCTTATGCTCGGTTAAGGAGATTGCTTCCTTTGGAATGCAGTCTTCTTTATGATAGGCAAGCATGTGAGGGTAAATCCACTCTGGTGTATTGGTAACAATGAATAGTACTTTGCAGAGCAATTAAGCCCCATAATTGAATGCAGAATCAAAATTTCCTTCAGTCTTCTGAGTTTGGCTGGCCAGCAATGCGAGCCATTAGGGCAGGAGCTGAGGTAAATGACACTAATCCAGTCAGGCACATTCCCAACCTCAACTGCATTCCCAACCTCCCAACTGCACACCAAACCTGTTTCCACGCCTGAGCGGCACAATTATTGCATGGAATGTCCTGTTCTGAAAAGGGCAGAAGTTGTGCCTGGAAATAGGCTGGGGAGGGAGAACGTTGTGCTCTTCGTCCCTTTGGCTGATGAGGAAGTGTTTGGGAGCCCTTCTGCCCTTTCCTTTCCCAGTGGTACCTCCAGCAGGCTGAGGCCTGCACCCAGCCCCACTGCCAGCTCCCACAGTAGTACTGGCAGTCACTGCAATGGGCAGGCTGCTTTCCTGCACCAGCTTCTGACAAATCCTTCCCATACAGAAGATGTAATCCCGTCGATGAAGGAACCACAAAAATCCCTTACAAACTCCGTGATTTAAAGGTCTCTTTATTACAGGTCAGAAGCGTGGGCCTTAATGATAAAAATAGAGTGAATTTAAACATGAATCATGCAGAAAGTTCCAGTAAATTACAAATGACACTGCCTCAGCTTGCACTGGAGAAATCCATGAGAAAGTTGTTCTCCCATTCCTGCCACATTCCTCAGCAGTAGTCACAGTGCTCCTGCACCAGCTGGGCAGCTCCAGGCAGCACTGGGATGGGGCTTTGGTGCCTGTAAGTTGCACAGCAGTGTGTGCTGGTACACCCCGTGTGCTTTACGTGTTTATAGGCTGGGGATCATTAACAAAACCCAGACTTTTTTAACTCCTGACAGTGTTAATGCTGTCAGGAGGTAAAACAGTGTCGTACTGTGCCATCTGAAGCAGAAATGTGTCATTGCTTTGGTTGCTGCCCATGTTGTACAGGTATTTATTGTATATCTTTTCTTACCTTAATTGTAAAAGGATGATGTGTATCTTTTATTTATCACTGTTGATAACTTCTAAGAATGGTTTGAATTCCCCCCTCCAAGAAGAATATCAGAATAATGGAGTAATACATATATTCTGGATGTCAATTCTGGATGTCAATTCTGGATGAGGACAGTAATGGAGATCCTTCTGGTGATGCTGCAATATCTGTAGCAAGTTGGTTAAAATTAAAAATATATATATATATATATAGTTAAAGTCCATTTTGTCACAAGGCATTACAGATATAACTGTCTGTAACTGTCAAAACTGTACTCAGTGCCTTCTAACTTTTGCTACATTTGGGCTTCTGCCACAGATGAAGTTACACATTTACTAGAGGTCGTTTTCATATACCTGTTATTAGATGGTCAAAAAGTCAAATTATTAATCCTACAGAGTATATAATAATTTTTCTGAAATATACTAAATGGATTTGATTGCAGAAATGGGTGAAGGTGTGCAGACTCATCATGCCTGATTGCCGGATTACTGCAAGGCATTAATTCATTTCTTATGGTCAAATATGTACATCTACAAACATGTAGATGCTTCAATTACATAATTAATCTCGATACATCTTTTATGAATCATTTGCTCATTTTCTTGATGTTTGTGATACAAAGAAAGAAGAATAAATTCAAAGGTCATGAAAAACAATAATAACATAGATCAAGGATACAGTGTCAGAGTTTAACCCTCAAGTAACCACTTCTCTTT